CACCAGCAGGACTACTGTTAAAATGCAAATGTGTAGAGATGTTGTACTCTTTATTTTTATCTATGTTTTAATTTTTTTAGATTTTTTTTATTTTATGTGTTTAGTGTCTTGTCTGCATGTATGCATGTGCACCACTTGAGTGTCTGTCTGGTGCCTACAGATTTCAGAAGACCGTGTTGGATCTCCTGGAACTGGAGTTTCAGATGGTTGTAAGCTGCCACATGGGTGCTAGGAACCCAATCCTGGTCCTTTGAGAGAACAAGTGCTCTTAACGGATGAGCTGTCTCTCCAGCCTCAGATATGTACATTTTAGCAAAGTTAAGATATAAATGGTATCCTTACCAGGAAAATGGCACATTTTCTTTTCCTGTCATTCTGTAAGTGATGCTAAGACCCTTCAGTAAACTACAGAAAGTCTAATAGGACACACTGGCATTCTTGAAAAACATTCTTCAAGACTCTGAAAACTCAGTGTTTCCCTTTGCCTTTGTATATGCAAGAATTTGCCTAATGTTTTTCCTAAGCTAGATTCGCAAAGGTTACTAGCTCGTATTTGGCATGACCATTAGTAAATAAACACAAACTGCTTAGGTATTAAATCAATTGAAAAGACAAAGCTGAAACAATAGATTTTAGCTGGTCTTAGATACAAGAAGAAAGGGGAAACTGAAAAAAAAATGAAATAAAATAAAGCGAAAGAAGAGATTTTAACATGCTGTCAAGTATTTTAGTGAATGCTATAATAAAATGAAAACTTACATAATTTGGAACAGAAAATTCTAGATGATAGAAAAGAGCATGTATTTAAAGATGTGCAAACATTTTTTTGGCAAAAAAAATGCTGTTTGTCTGTTTCTGTTTTCATTTTATATGTTTTAGGGATCTTGTCTAAAAATCCTTGCCTATAGCCATTATAAATATATATATATATATATATATATATATATATATATATATATATACTTTTAATGTTTCTGTGCATCATTAAAACCATATTTTATGGGGCTGGAGAGATGGCTCAGTGGTTAGGAGAGCACTGGCTGATCTTGCAGAGGTCCTGGGTTCAATTCCCAGCACCTACAAGACAGGCTCACAACAGCCTGTGACTCCAGTATCATGGCATCCAATGCCCTCTTCTGACTTCTGAGATTACTGCAGTCATGTGGTGCACATACATACATGCAGGTAAAACCCTCAAAAACACACATATATTTTTAAAATATCTTTAAAAAATAAGCGAACTAGTTCCAAGATATAGTAGGCTCTGCCTCTGGTAAAATCAGAACCAGAACCAACAGATTAGATCATGTGCGTGTGAAAGGGGATTCATCTTTTAAGCACATAGTTAAAACAGCTGATGGGAACAAATACATTTCATTAACGAATTCTTAGGTATGTTATTGTTTTGTTTTAAATATGTTTTTGAGAGATGTTCAATACAGGAGAGAAAGTTGATTTGCAAGAAATGTGTTTTTCCGTACCCTTCCGTTGAGTAGCTGCATGACCTATTTCTCTAGGGTGACTCATTTTCAGATGACCAGGAATCAGAGAGCCAAAAGCTACTGTTTAGATAAAGTCATGACATACGCAAAGCCGAGATGGATGACTTTCCCTTTGTTTCCTGTCGCTCCTTCCAATATCCCACCAATCCTGTAGACTGCCCGGGTCTTTCAAGGCATGTAAAGAGGAAGTTAAGTCTGACAGTCATTAACATTAACACTTAAGCGTGAATTTGCTAAAGCTACTTTTACTTGCTTTTGAAAAACTGTTGAGTTCTGCAAGCAATGCATCTTCCTTAGAAAGATGGCATTCAAAACTCTGAAATACTTCAGAGAGCCCCTGAGGGACAGAGTTGCTGTGCTTGCTCCAGTCTACCAGCAATAATCTTCAAATCTTATGCATAAGTCTAAATGTACATTAATATTAAAATGCACATGTATGCTTATATGTTTATATTTGAATAAATTAACATGCCCAACCTGTGATAGTTATTTCCGCTGTTTTATATTAAAATGTTTATGTCAATATTTAAATTGATTAGCATATCTAGCTTATGACAGGCATCCCCACTGCTTCTTTCTTCATTTTTGTGCAATGAATTCATAAATCTTCACGAATTTATCTTATTGTACCTTAAATCTTAAAACACTTTGGTTTGTTCAGCTGTTCACAACAAAACATGTGTTCTAAAGGTAGGAAATGGCATTAATGTTTTATAAACTAAATACTTTCGGTGGAGGAATACATAAATATTGCTGGAAATGTTGAATCCCATTTATTTCAAAGCAGTGTGTTTATTCCGTTGACATCAACATATATTCACAAGGAAGAATTTAAATGAGATTTACAGTTTCCTAGTGGAAACAGTCCACATACCTCCCGCCCTCTTCTGAAGTCTCACAGCAAGGAAGCCTTTCTGCTGTCCAGAGATTTGTTCTGCCAATCAGGCATGCACTGTGTCTTTCCTCTATGTGCCCATGTAATGAAGAATGCCAGGTTCCTCTTACACTTTATTGCCAATATAGACATTCACAATCAGTATACATGTTTTATTGAGATTTTGGTTTTTTTTATTTAAAGTTTAGAGCTGTTTTTAGATTAAAATATTTTCTTAAGGGAACTGCTATTTTTCTCCTTGTATTGAGATTTTGCTTATATAGTCTAAAGTTAGTAAATGTTAAAAGCACAACACACTGAATTTTTACATGTTTATGTGTACACTCATGTAGTTATCATTCAAATAAAATCATAAAATAGATCCCGAATTCCAGAAGATTCCTGTACACTTGCTCTGAGGTGGTACCCCTTCCATGGTAATCAATCCTCTAACAGAGATCAGTTGTATAATTATCACAAAAATGGAATAGGTAATGTGTATTTAGGGAAAATGATACTCCCCCCACTTATATTACCTCTAAGATCCAAACATTTCCATAGGTAAAGCCAAATCATTTCTACTGTTATCTAGTTTTTTTCATTGTTTATTGTGCAGTATGTCCTCTCGTTGATGGACTTTTAGGGTGTAACTTTATGAGTAATGATAGCACAGACATTCTTACCTCACAAGGTCATTTACGTTCATGTTTTGCTTTCATGTCTCTTGGGTCATTGAGTTTCTCATAGAGTTCATGCATCATTAGCTTCAGTAAATACTGTCAAACAGTTTTCTCAAGTGGTAGCACCACTTTCTACCACCACATGCAATATAGAAGAGCTGAAAACATTAACTGTTTGTCACATCCCCATCAACACTTGGAGTGATAGTTCTTCAATTTTGGTCATTTAATGGAATCTCAGTAGTTTCCTCTACATCTCTGATTACTGGTGAGGTGGTACACCTTTGAATAGGTGAGTTGTTAATTTGGAGATTCTGTTTTGTGAAGTGCTTAAATTTTTTTGAATGTATTGGAAATAAACTTTGTCATCTTTTGCTCATTTGCGGGAGCTCAGGGTTGGTTCTGGATTCAGTATGTCCTTGGATACTTTCTCCTTATGTGTGCATTGCCTTCTCTCTTTAAGATGCATGTGTTAGAAATACCATCTCCTATTCTCTGGCTTGTCTTTCCACACTTCTGATCTTTTGATTAACACAAAATTTTTGATTAACAAGTGTTTTGATTTAATGAAGCCCCGTTTATCAATATTTTCTTTTGTCAGTAATTCTTTGTCTCTTTCAAGAAACCCTTGGCTTCTCCAAGTTCACACAGCTTTATGCTTTACCAAACTTGATTTATGTTTTGTTTTTCACATATATAATTTTCTCTAATTTCTGCATGCAGTATAAAAAATCAAGATTCAATGTTTTCCTGTGTCAACATCTAATACCAGAACCCACTGATTAAAAAGGCCCTCCATCTCCCACTGGACTGCTGTGGTCTTTTGCAGTAAATGGAGCTATATGTGGAAGGGTCTGCGTTTGGACCTTCTGTTCTGTTTGATTGGTCTGTCTTTCTATATGCACACTAATGCCATGTTAAAAGGATTCCTTATATCTCAATGGTTTGCCTCCAAGTTATTGTTCAGCTTTACCTTTAGCTATTTTTGTTTCTTTGTTCTTCCATTTAAACTAGACAAGAGCTTGTCAGTTTTGAAACACACATGCACACACACGCACACACACGCACACACACGCACACACACACACATACACACCATACCCTGACTGATCTATTGGAATTGGGATTTTAATTGTCATTCAGAAAGAATATGATATGTTATTTGCTTTTTCCTTGCAAATTATATGATAGCATTACTTAAACCTTGAGACCCTTCTAGTCAAATATGCAATGGTGATTCCTTGTCACAACTCTAGGTCTGAGGTGTATTTGTCAAATGAAGGACTGAGGCATTCAGTAGTTGTCTGGAAAATTCGAGGTTTTCACTTTCAGCCAAGCAGATGGTCAGTTTGGCCATAAGCAGTTTACTTTCTGTCTATACTATAAAGTTTAAGACATGAAACGCAAACATAAATCTCGACGATGGAGAATTGAACTTGTGACTATACAGTGTAAAAGGTTTAATGTACTTAAGTGTAGCTGCATTTTGTTGTACAGTGGTGTGACTGGGAACGTGGGTGGCACCCTTGTCAGTATTACTTCATATGTAACTCATAGTCTGAATTAGATTTAAATATGTTAGTTCGAGACTAATGTGTGCACATACATTACTACATTTCTATGATGTGGCTTCATTGGACATGTAAACTCACCGAGTAGAGATGATGGATGCCTGAGTAATTGTGATAATAAAAGCCAGCATCACTGTGTTCTCACCATGGGCCAGGCAATAGTCTATTTTTTTTATATGGACAAACATTAAATCTTCATAGAAATACTGTGGGATGGGGATCATCATCCCCAATTTATAGAAATTTAATAAAATAGTTCAGTTTATTTTTATTTTCACTTTCATTTTGTTTATGATTGTAGCATTCAACTTTATTTGGAAAAAAGTAGGACGGGAATGTTAGTTCATATCATTTGTGCTTGTCTTTTAAATAGAAACAACTTGCCCTGTACTGAGAATGGAGGGATATCAAGACAACAGAAACAAACTTGAAGTTTCCGGTAAGTATTCTTGGCTAAGTAGCACTTTGTGCAAAGTGTCCATTCATAGTGACCAAACGCTATGTGGTGGCAGGCCCGTAAAAGACTTCTCTGGGGAGTGGGAATTCGGGGAGAGTAAAGTACAATATTTCATTAGAGGAATAATGATTTCCCTATCTCTTTAGTATGGCTTATGGTGAACCCTCCATCCTCCCCACTTCCCAGGCAGGGGTGGCTCCACAGCCAGCTCATTGACTGCTCAGATGGAATGTTAGGTCTCCACCAAGCCAGAGATTTTATCCTCCTAACAGGAAGGAGTTTTCCCTAGGTGGTCCTGAGTGCTCCCTAGGTGGTCCTGAGTGCTCCCTAGGTGGTCCTGAGTGCTCCCTAAGTGCACCTGAGTGCTCCTTTGCCAACATTACAAGTTAAGATCCTAAGATCCATATAGAAATAGAAAGTAAATACTGCAGGCCAGGTCAAATACTGTCAGCAGAGTTCTCTATTGTTTAATCTCGGGGTAACAATACCTCACCTTGGTGGAGAACAAAAGCTGTGTAAAAATCACAGAAGTTGGGCATTCTGTTGCAATTCTGAAAAGGGAAAAGAATATTTTTGAGATGTTTTAACATCCAGACGTAGTCATAATTTCAAGACTATTTTGGTGTAACATTTTTATATTTTTCTCTTTCTTTATATTTTCTTTTGTTATTAATATTGCCTTTGCTGGTTTTGTTGTTATTGCTGTTTCGTTTTTTGTTTGTTGGTTGGTTTTTTGACAGGATCTCCCTGTGTAGCCCAGGTTGGCCTCAAACTCAGGATCCTCCTGCTTCAGCCTCCAAAATGTATCATAGGCATGTGCTACCACCATACCTGGGTCAACGTTCTTATTTTCCTTTTCCTTCCTCCCCTTCCTTTCCATATTCTCTTTCTGTTTTTCTCCAACTCTCTCATTTATACATGATGATAACACACATATTGCACTTGAATTCTAAGCATTTCCCCACATTCATATAATTTTCCTGAAGTATATATTTGTAAGAGGCTGTTTAGATTTGAAAAGAATGGCTACGATTTTTATTCTGGCTATGTTCTGTTTATACTTTAGAGATGGTACAATGAACTATCATGATAATTTGCTTAGGTCAATTTCTAAATTAAAGCAAAATGATAGTGCATTCTTTTCCAACACCTGTGAGAAACAAGGATGGTGGTTGGTGTACATTTGCAGTCTTAGCCCTGGGGAGGCTGAGGGGGGAGTACTGCTGTGCAATCAGACTAGGCAGAGACAAAAAGAACTATATTTATGAACCGTTCTTCAGAAAGATAGCTGTGCCTTCTACAGGCAAAGAAAATTTTATTTTCCTGTACCCCAAAAGGAAAGAATGCAAAAAAGAAATTAAGCACCTTTGTCGATTTCAAATAGGAGGATTTTATTTTAAATCAATCAACCTGTGGATATGGATAACAAATTCCTGTTTAAAAATCAATATGTCTGTGAGTTTATTGCTGGGTTTAATAACACGTCACATTTTACAGGCTTTGATCTAGGAGAAAGCTTTGCTCTGAGGCATGCATTTTGTGAAGGTGATAAAACCTGTTTCAAATTGGGAAGTGCACTTCTTCTCAGAGACACTAGGTGAGTAAACTTATTCGTTTTCATTTTGACAAAACTACAAAAATTATTTTCTAAGGCTATTCCAAATTCTTGCTCAAAAATATAAACGCTCAGTAGTGCCCCCATGCTGTAATGACTTATGTATTAGTTACTGATAAAACTGCAATCAAAACTTACTTGCATAAAGAAATAGTCTTTAGAAAATTAAATACATTTTTGGAGTAATCTTATTGGCATTTAGAGTAGACATAACTGGTATCTGATTTTAAAAGTGAACTTTGAAATATAAGGTTCAACATAGATTCAGAGACAAAAGACCGCTGCTCTATTTATTCCCATATATACTATGTTTTGTGGTGAATTAAAATAACAGTTGACCTCAGGTGCTTCCTCTATGTACCAAAATGTTTTGAAGGTTTTTTGTTATTTATTTCTTGTGTCAAACTTGAGCATCCTTGTGTGTAAATGCACCATTAAGGAAAAGCACCATAGTCCCCCTGGGTTTAGCATTCAGCATACATGTCTTTGTGTGAAGATGAATACAGCATGCATGGATTTTCTCACTTTTGACACACATCTTATTGCTTATCCTCAGATTCTCCACATAGACTAAGCTCATAACTCATTTTCCCCTCTAGAAATGTTTCTTTTAAACTTCTTGTTTTGTGATGTTTTGTAAGACTTTAATTTAATAGCACTCTTCTGTTCATTTATTGATGAGAAATAAAGATGTTATGGAAGAGCATAAATTGATATTGGAAGTATATCAAGAGTGATTGTCATGTGGGGTACTTTCATCAGGTACCATAAGGTATGGCTGTTCCGGTGACCCCAAGAGCAGTAGTTCCTTGCTTTTTTATGCATATACTGTAAGGAAAAGCAAGATTGTGTGTGTGTGTGTGTGTGTGTGTGTGTGTGTGTGTGTGTGTGTGTGTGTGTGTGTGTAGGGAGGGAGGGAGGAAGGAAGGTTAACTACTGGTAGATAATATTTCTTAATAAGTTTAAGAAAGGCAATACATTCTGTTCAAGCATTAAGATGCATTATTTTTCTTGCCTATATTTTTTTTTCTGTTGATTTAAATGCCTGTAAATCTGGTAATGTGAGGAAAGAATTGACTGAAATGAGTTATTTTAAATTCACTGGACTTGTACAAAAGCAGAATAAGCTGATTTTAAAAGTACTGCCACTGTTAGGCGATGCTGTTCCCCCTTTGAGTGAACAGGATTATAAATGAATTGAAGTTTGCTTTCCAACCTTCAGCTCTAAATCACTCCCCAGTCTCTGGACAATCAATGAAAGCAAATTTTCTGGCTCTGCAGAGCGTAAGCCCAGGTTCCTCCACGGCAGGAAACTGGAGGGTGTCTGGTTAAGCTGACTACCGAGGGTCAAGTCGCTTGGCTCCTCTCCACTTACATTTCATTCACTGAGCCAAGTATGCTAGGATGCTTCTCTTGCATGATGCCATTTTGATTTTTCAGTGGGCCCGGAGTAAAGTTGCAGCTATTTATACATTTGTAAATAAGCTGCCTTGCGGAGTCAGCATGGGAAAAGGCAGATGCCGTTTTATATGGAAAATGAAAATGCTTTCTGTGCCTGAACTTGTTTTTTATTGTTCTGGCATATTCTACTTGACATTCATGAGGGAAGAAGCCTCATGAATGTGGGGATTTGGAAACCTATTCAAGTACATTCAATATCTTCAGCCTGGCTTCCTGTCTGACACCCCAAATTTGCTCAAGCAAGGCTCTTCAAGATTTCCATACTTTTACCTACCTATCTATATCTACATTATTGTACATTTAGAGGTCTATTGACTCAAGGGTGTCTTGAGAACTTGTTGAGTTTTTTTGTGATTTGAAACTCCCATTCATGTCTTCAGTATTTTTTGAGCTAACAAAGGGTGAGTATCGGTGCTGTAAAAGATTCTGGGTGGCACACTATCTAGTCGTCTGAATTATCTTTTCAGGGGAAGGTTTTTTCCCCCTCTTAGGATTCTAAGTCTTATTGCTAAAAAGAATTTAAGAGTGCACTCAAATGGAATCTTGAAGACAAATTCATTAGACTTTAAAAGAAAAACCCTCAGGGCGGCCAAGCTACCAGAGAAGCAGAATGTGAAAGAGAGAGAAAAGAAAGCCATGTTTTATGAAGCAGCATGAAGGTTAGACACATGGCAAGGAGTAAGGAAGCCCAGAGTGTCAGGGAAAGTGTGCTGAGAGCACAAACACAGGGAAAGCCGCACTTTTCTGTGCAATTCAGGAAGGTGGGAAGACTGCACTCCGTAGGATACTGTGCTGTGGAGAGGAATCCGGGGGAAGGAAAAATACAGTATCTCACTAAGGAGAACATGCTCCACTTATCTCTTTAGATTGGCTTAAGAGGAGCCTACCTTCCTAGGAGCTAGACCTCGGACAGGTGGCTGATCTGGCCCAACTGGAGTGTCATGTCACCTCCAGGCCAGAGATGCTGTTCTCTTGAATGAAAGGAGTATTTCTCTTTTCTTTTGTTTTTAATGTAACACTTCATATTTTTATTCATTTTATATACCAACCAGAAATCCCCCTCTCATCCCTCCTCCAGCTCCTCATCACCTCCCCGCCACCCCTCACGCCCACCCCACCGCATCATCCCCTCTTCCAACAGAGTAAGTTCTCCCATGGGCAGACAGCTAAGCCTGGTACATTCAGTTGAGGCAGAACCAAGCCCCTCCCTGCTTTATCAGGAGTGAGCAAGGTATCCTACAATAGGTAATGGGATTCAGAAAGCCGGCTCATGCACCAGGGATAGATCCTGATCACACTGCCAGGGGCCCCTCAAACAGACCCAGCTACACAACTGTCTCCCATATGCAGAGGGGTTTAGTCCGGTCCCATGCAGGTTCCACAGCTGTCAGTCTAAAGTTTGTGAGTTCCTTTGAGCTTGGTTCAGTTGTCTCTGTGGGTTTCCCCATCATGATCTTCACACCTGCCCCCTTGCTCATAGAATCCCTCTTCCCTCTCTTTGACTGGACTCCCAGAGCTTGGAGCTCACTCATAAGTGGATACTAGATATTAAAGCAAATGATAATCAGGCTACAACCCACAGCTCCAGAGAAGCTAGAAAACAAGGAGGACCCTAAGAAGGATGTACAGATCACCTTGGGAAGGGGAAACAGAGGAGATCTCCATGAGTAAACTGGGGATAAAGGGGCAATAGAGAGTAGGAGATAGGGGATGAGAACATGAGGGAACAGGATGGTCGAGCTGGGGGAGGGATGGAATGGGAGAGCAATGAAAGAGATCTTTGTTTTTATTAAGAGATTTTTCCATTCATTTCACATATCAAGCACAGATTCCCCCGTCCTCCCTCCTCCCACCCCCAATCCTTCCCCTGCAACCCACCCCCTATTCCCACCTCCTCCAAGGCAAGGTCTCCCATG